GTTATGAAATTATTTTTATTAATTTTGTTGTAATATTTTTATGCATTAAGTTATGAAATTATGTTTATGTGTGATTTTATTATAAATGAAATACACATAAACTATTTTTTTTACCAAAAATGGTGGAAGGGTAAAATGGTTTGCTACCGGTGGGAGATGAACCCATTTTCTCACCACCAAAAATGGGATTTGGTGAAAAAATGGTGAAACCGGTCGGAGATGCTCTAAGGTGAAAATCGGACATATCATATTGAATTGTAATTAGCATTTTTCTGAAAAAAATAAATATTTTGGATGAGAAAAGTTTGTTCAAAGTTTTAATAAATCGGATCAAATATCAAAATTTCATAAATTGGAAAAAAAATCGGATACTAAATCGGTGGAATTAAAAAATTATGTTCCTTTTATTAAGAGATTCCAACTACCAATCACCTAAAACTATTGGACAAAAGTCGGAATTCTCATAAATTCAAATCGGATCGAAAGTCAGAATCTTACATATTTCAATTCCGATTCAAAAACCTTGAAATAATTTCAATTGAAATGTTGGTATTCGAAAAGAAAAAACAGTGTTTGAAGATCAGAAATTTTGGTATATAAGTTGAAGATGAGAAATTTCGTTGTAATTTTCATACAAAGTTAGTGGATAGTGGGCCCACGGCAGGTGACGTGTATTTGATCCCCATTCATGAAATTAGTGTAGGTATCTTTTTCCTCGACCCATCACACAATTTTAATCCACGAGGAAGTTGTGGATTTATTTTCCCCATGTGTTGTTTCTTTAATACTATTATGAATCAATTATTATTATGTAATAAGCGCGTATACTACAACCACCTACAACAACAACAACATAAATCATCTCACCTTCCTTCTAAGTGGTTCAAAATATTCTATTTTCTCCCATGCCACGTGTCCGTTCTTCACCCCTGCGTTGACTGAACTTCTTCACACTCTCTACTCTCTCTCTCTCTCCCACCTATTTTACTCGTTCATTACACGTATATATATATTCTTCTGCTCAACACTCTTCTCTCCAGTACTATCTATCTAAACAGTAGTATATTCCATTCTTATTACGTCCAATATATATTATGGTGAAATCTCCTGATCAACCAACGCCGCCGCCGTCTTCCGCCGCCGCTGCTGCTACTACTTCTTCTTGCAAGTACAAGGGTGTGAGGAAGCGCAAGTGGGGGAAGTACGTTTCAGAAATCAGGCTCCCTAATTGTAGGGACAGGATTTGGTTGGGCTCCTACGACACCGCCGAGAAGGCGGCGCGTGCCTTCGACGCCGCCCTGTTCTGCCTGCGTGGCAAGAACGCCAAGTTCAATTTTCCAGACAACCCACCTCAGATTCCAAACGGCAGGTCCATGTCCCCCGCTGAAATCCAGGTCGCCGCGGCCCGCTTCGCCAACCTTGGCGGCGGCGATGAACACCCACACGCCACTGGAACGTCGGGTCGGGTCGAGGATTTGGATTTGGATTCGCATTCGGATTCGCCATGTGCGTCTCTGTCGCGGAGTGAAGTTACCGAAATACCACTGGA